CTACCAATGTAACACTCTAAACAAAGCGGGTAATTGAGAAACCCCATATTTTGACTAGCATAATGCAGACATCTCCAGCCTTACAACAATTCTCTCTACCGTTAACAGAAACAAGGCATTAGTTCATGGATAGTTCATGAACATGCACAACTCCTGTTGCAGGTCAGGAAGCTACGACAACGCATAAACAAAAACTCTGATAGATAAGTTATGTTTTTTCACAGTGACAATTCCTTAAAGAGCGTATGGGGGGTTTGCTATGTAGATTGTTTATATTGTAAATATAATAATAAACATGAATCCACTGTGTACTCGTATGCAACTTTATTAGCAGCTTCCTCGTAACATTGCGCCAACAACATAACATGAGTATAACATCAAAGTCTCTAGTAACATCCTCTGTCCCTCATAAATAAATTATAAAAAAAAATTCACGTGGAAAAATAAATAAATGACAAGAACCAGCAATTCCACATTTCTTTCTCTATTATCTAAATATACCTACACAACATTTTTTTTTTTTTTTATATTAAACACTCCATGAATGTTATTTTTCAACAAGTTGCCAGTTTGAACCGTCAGATAAGGCTCCTGCATAGACTGGTTTAAGCAATAAGCCCGCTAAGACTCACAAGCTCTCCTCCTCCCCTCTTCCTCACCTTCCTCTGTTGGCGACCACAGCCCCAACACTCTCTGACTCTGGTCGCTATGGTAACATTTAAACATGCCTTCAAAATAAGATACAGATACACCACAAAAACGAATATAAAGTGCATGAAAATTTAACTCCCCATAACACTAAATCAATGGGAGCCCTGAGCTCGTTTCTCTGCAACAAGACGGTCCCATCTGGGGGTAATAGGAGACAATGACACCCGAAGTGTGTTGCTTATTTTTTAACATACTTTTAAGGCCGTTGTCATTTGCGATCTCCAGCAGTTGATCTTCTTCTTGCACAGACCTGCTGGATTCACCTGGTTTGTTGACAAATGGGTTGCGGATCCATTCCTTGGCAGTTCGTGGGTCCTTTGTGGTTGGGAAGTAGCGCTCGAACTCTTATAAAAGCAAAGACAGGTGATCGTGCACCAGCTGGGAGAATGAAGGCTCAGGCTCAGTCTCACCCAAAATCCACGCTAATGTTTGAAACATGTCCAAAATGCCTCTGTTGACGCGCCGTCCCCACAAATCCAGTTTGGTTTTAAATGCAGATACTTTATCTGCCAACTTGAAGACAGTTGTCATTTTCCCCTGAAGTGACAGATTGAGTTCATTGAGCAGGCTGAATATGTCGCACAAGTAAGCCAGTTTTGGCGCTCAAGTGACCGAGATGTAACCGAGAGAATACGGTCATTTTTCAAAATAAAAGATCGTTCAGACTCAGATAATAAATAAAACGGAAATAATTAATGATTTCTTGTGCGGCCCGGTACCAATTGATCCATGGACCGGTGCCGGCCCGGGGGTTGGGGACCACTGCTCTAGTTAACCTGCATAACATCACATGCGACAGACACACTGGCCTCAAGCACTCAAACAAACGGGTACTGTGCTCCAGGGGAATCCAGTGTTGATGAGATGATCATTCACCGCCCAGGGGGCTTTACAGTGCGACTGCTTGTAGGTTAGACCTGGTGAGGTAAAACAGTGAGTCCCTGTACAGGAACATTCCCGGACATGCAGTAAACTCAGGCCCTGTATTTTTCTCCACATCCTCTGGTCACAGTGCAGCAGCAGGAGGTAAAATATATCCATAAAACCACATACAGTTGAAAAATTCTGCTTTTAATATGGGGTAATTATTGTGATAATTACTCAGTCGATGTTGTGCAATCACTAATGTCTTCAGTGGACTTGAATTTGTCCCTTGATACAAATCTTCTCCCCCATCTTCAGCCTGCTGTCCATGTCCAAGGACAGGAGCCCCTGACGGCCTCCATGTTGGCTGCTGCCCCTCCACAGGAACAGAAGCAGATGCTGGGTTAGTGCTGCATCTTTCTTGTTTTGCTAAGAACTAACATGCCCAGAAGTGTTTTGAGAAATGATAGTATTCTTCCTAGTTACAAAGTTGTATGACATCTTGGAAGTCTTGTTTTCTATGTTGAACTTAGTATTTAAAAAGATTGTTGTTGACTCTTGTTTGTCTTTCAGGTGAGCGCCTGTTCCCCTTGATCCAGAACATGCACCCCAGCCTGGCAGGCAAGATCACAGGTATGCTGCTGGAGATCGACAATTCAGAGCTCCTTCATATGCTTGAGTCACCAGAGTCGCTGCGCTCAAAGGTCAGTTAATCTGTTGAATACATCTTTGAAGGCTATTGGCCATGCTTATTATCTCTGAACTTACTCACTTTTGAAAACTGTCCAAAGTTACACAAACCCGGTTGCTGTATATAGCTGGCTGAGACTAGCCTGAATGAGTTTGAGGAATGCTCCATATGCAGCTATCTATAACAAGTGTTCTCTCATTTCAGGTCGATGAGGCTGTTGCTGTGCTTCAGGCCCACCAGGCCAAGGAGGCTGCTCAGAAGTCCACCACTCCTGCTGGTGTTCCCACCGTCTAAGGTTTGTGTGTAGGGAGGATTTCTGGATAACACAGAAGAAAAGAAATTATACAATCGATGACTTAAGTAAATGAACTGCAGCATAAGCGTTTGTCTCCTTGTTGTCTTGCAGATTGAGCATTTTGAAACCTGCTTCACCGATGGAAAAAGAGAAAAAAAAATTAAACATTGAAAAACCTAAAACTCTGAAAACATCGCAAAATTATAAATTATTTCTTAAAAAAAAAAAGAAGAAAACAATTGACTCTGCCAGGTCTAGGGATGCTTTGACTAGACCTTGATCATAAACTAAAAATTTGTTGACAAAAAAAATAGCAAAATAGAGAAAATTGAGATCATAAATTTGAATGCTTTCCTCCGTTTTATGTCATTTTATTGTGTCTGTGTTCAGAATGTCAGCCATGTTCAGGAAGGTGGTAGTTGAGCATTTGGAAAGGTGATTTGTATCATGCTACTGGCTGTAATAAAGTCTCATTCACAATGTATGCCTCTGCTTCAGAACCTGTTATCATGAATTTCTGGTTATACACACTAAGAACACATTCACACCAGTTTATCGGTTTATTTATTTTTATATTATATTATACTGTCAGATTTACTACATGGAACTCCTCATTGTGTAGATTTTTATTTGACTTGTGTTCTCAAGTCCATATTCATGTATTTGTCATGCAGTGCCTTCAGAAAGTAATTACTCCTTTTGCACAATTTGTCAGTATACACCCAGTAATTCATAATGATGAAGTGAAAACGTTTTTAGACTTAATTCAAATCGTATTTGAAATCATACTGCAGCTTTTTGTGTAATATGTTAATTCAGTACTTTGTAGAAGCCTTTTTGGCAGCAGTTACAGCATCAGTGAACATTCAGGTCTCTCCACAGATGTTCTCTGGGGTTTAAATCTGGACTTCAGCTGGGCTACTCAGGGACAGTCAAGACTTGTCCTGAAGCCACTTCAGTGTCTTGGCTGTTTTATTCAGGTCATTGTTGCTGTGCTGAGGTCACATGAACTTGAGCAGGTTTTCTTCAAGGACCTCTGAGTTTGGCTACACTGACTTTATTTCTCAATTGTGACCAGTGTCTGTATCCCCTAGTTGTGACAGCAGACCAGAAAATCTTTTTCTTTATGCTCTGGGTCCTTTGGAGTTTCTTAAACAACATTTAAACAGCTCTCATCGGCCTTTTACTCATAGTGTCTTCTCTGTAGCCACTCTACCATAAAGGTTGATGAAGAGCTGCTGAAATGCTCATCCTTCCTGCAGGTTCCATCATTGCAGAGGATTTCAGAAGCTCTGTTAGTGACTGTTGGATTCTTGCTCACCGCCCTTCTTATCTTGATTATTCAATTTGGTTGCACAGCCTATTCTAGGAAGAGTGCTGGTGGCTCCTGACTTCTTCCATCACATGTGAGGGATAATTAAAGCAAACAGGATACATAAACTACGACTACCTTCTGGAGTACTACAGCAAAGAGTTCACTTTTATAAATGAGATATTTGTTTTGGACTTCTAACTTTTCACTTAGTCATTGTGAGTTAGTGAGTTTACATTGGTAGGTGAAAACACTGCTTTATTTAAAAATTAGATCTGTCAGGTGTGCAAAAAATGACAGTGAATACTTAGTCACCGTTTTGATAAGGTACGGTGCTGTTGTTTTCCACCAGGTGTCAGTGTTATGTAGTGGATCATATAGGCATTTCTTTGGAATTGCTCATATACGTGATCCATGATTTGAGTTTCCTGTCTGTGCTGTTTTTAACTGGTGTTCTTGTACAGCTGTGTGATTTACAGCTGAGGCTCCAGAAGCCCTGGAGCATACTGCACACTACACAGTAGGAGTATGTACTATTATTAGATGCATACTCTGATGAATAGTGTACATTACCATGGTAAAGCTGATGCATTGTAGGCAGCTCTGTGGTCTGCACTGATGACGCTCAAAATTCAAATAGAGCAGGATGGCTTTACATGAATAAGTGACCGAGTGGCAGCAGCTAACAACCATCAAAGCTTGGGTTTTACTGAGAGTTCCACTTTGTCAATAAAAGACAGACTGATAGGATCAATCATTTCCCCACTTTTCATAAAGACTGTCTACATTGCAATCTGCATATAACCTTTTTTTGTGACACTTTGAAAATAATGGTTTGAGAAATGCAAGATTACCATGTGAAGTCTGTACAGTGTTGCTTCAAATTAACATTTTCAAGAAAGCACTGTGTAGGTTTGGTTAGCATGCATTACCTGTCTAGTTTAATGGGGGTTGTCTTTGGCTTGGAAAGGCACAGTAGTGATAAAGATCTTGTACTTTGTTAGTTATTATTACTATTATTTATTTTTAACTGTTGACAGTTTTGTTGTAAATATGGATATTAAGTCGGCAAAGAACATTATTTGCCTAAACTAACTAGACTCTGTTGGTCAAAGTCTCGCGATGCGATTTGAATTTCTGAGCTACAATGAGAACACCGAGCAACAGAGCGACCTCTGTAGGAGCTGCTGTTGTTCGAATCGGAACAGATAGGTGGGACCGAAAACAGAAGGAAATAAGTGCTGGGTGTAAGGGGAAGAGTAATCCACAGCACTGCGGGACAGCTGATTAAGTAACTTAAAATCGTTTTGGAAAGCAGCGCGTTTCCTTTCCTCTTTGGTGCTCTCTCCGGAACAAGTGTCACTTGCAACAGACGGTACGTTCTCTTCGTTTTAGCAAACCTCGCTAGCCAGCTGCTAACGCTCGCTGTGCTTGATAGTTAGCTGGCATTCTGGGCATCTTAGGTAAGCTGAGACCTATTGAGCATGTCTAGTGGCTCATTAACTATGTTTTACTAACGGCATGTGTCACTTCTGTTTGGGTGTGTACCAGATATAGCCTATTTGTAAGATAACGTAAAGTGACACTAATCACAACAAACTAACGCTAGCTAGGTTTATGTTAATTTAGCTATCTAACGTTATCGGGAAGCAGAAAACAAGGAACAACACTAAAGGTAACATTAACGGTTAGCAATCTTATACATTGTTGTAACGTTAACGCTAACTGCTAGACCTCGGCGTGTAACAAACTGAAGACGCCGAGTGTCTTAAACCCACGTCGATTCCGCAGCAGTGTGCTCAACTTGGGCAGCGGGACTGGTTTGCTAATGAATGCCTTTAATTGATTAAAAAAAGGAAACAGCAGGGGAAAAGTTAATTTCCCCGGGGCTGTTAACGTTTTTTGTTGCGCGGGAAGTGAACTAAAGGCAACTGGAGAAAACGACAGTGATCCTTGAGTCAGCCTGTTGATATACAGCATCTTATACATAGGGCTTGAATGCTTGAATGCTAGGGACTCACCTATATAGCTGGAGTTCTTGTGGCTTTTCTTGTAGCAGTCCTTGCCTAAATGTGGTCTTTAGTTAAAGTGTTTTTTTTCATTCAGTTTGCAGTCGAATCATTCAAAGAATGTTAGTCTCTATGCCTTTGTTATTTGAGTCTTGAATTATATGATGGTGACAGTATGTTAAAGTGTAGGGCAATGTGGCACTTTTGGGCACTTTTGTATAGTGTAACTCAGCGTACATATCATATGCTTGAGTTTCTGATGGAGCCTTAAATGGGTATACCAGGTTAGTTGATGTGATGGATCATTGTGAACAGTGTTATTGTAGTAAATGTGCACAGGCTGTACAGCAGAGCAGATATTGCATCTGTCATCCAGAGCATCCTGCCATTGTAGTTGTTCTTAGCTGGAGAAAAACTGAACAGTAGGTTCATATGTGATGGCACACACTGCAGTTGCAGTGTCATTGTTGTTTGCTTGTGGTAGCAAAGCAGTATTTCAAAAATTAGGAAGGATTATGCAACCAGAAGCTGTCACAGGAATCAATGTTCAGTCCATATACTGCTATGTTGAGAAATGAGCTTGAATAAGATAACGCCGTAATGCATTTATTGTCATTTAGTCATGGGTGTAAAGTTTGGCTATTTTTACAATATGGGGCCTTTTAAACCCACTAGTGTCTATACAGCTAGTACAGTGTTATATTTTGGATCTGAAAAACATAAACAACAGTAACGTTATTATTAAAACAGCTTCAACAAGAACATAACTGAAATTCAGGGAGCATTTCTTGATCTTGTTGGAGTGTTTGCTGTAATGTGAAGCATCTTTTAAGGTAACTGTCCAAATGTAATGGTTCATGATGGTTTCACTAACCAGTGTTTCCCACAGCTTAACAGCCTATTTGTAGGGCTAGCTATTTGGTACTGATTTTAAATCACAAATTCCAGAATCGATGAATTTTTATTTGATTTGTGATTAATTTACATCAGATAAATACCAGTGTATCATAAAGTGCTTCATTGGGTATAATATCATTTGGAAAGTCTAGTTTAGCTGTAGGATATATTTTTTAATCCCTTTCTTGTGCATGACGCCAACCAGAAGTCAGCCAGGTCGCCTGGCCAAGAGTCTCGGTTCAACGCAAGTGCATGTGCTGTATGGGTCCAAAAATGTGGAAGCATGCAGAACATCCAGGTAATTTTTATGGCTGGGATTTGGAGGCATTAAGAATAAAATACCCAAGGAAGCAACATATCAGGTTGTGTGGGTTTCTTTAAAACCCAGAATGTCATATAAAACTTAAATGGGTGTCTTCATTTTTGCTGTCACTGGCTCAGGTATTAAACCTTGGTATTAACTGTATGGCATAATACCTACCAGTTGAGAAATCTTTATGGGCTTATAGTACAAATTGTCATGTCAGCCAACCTACATATAGTGTTTTTCCAGCATTACCATATATATAATATAATAGCATTATCAGATGTATAATATATCACATACTCCCAGTTTACCAGTTCATTGCTTTCTATTTCACAGCCTCTCCCTGAGGTCTTAGCTCTCTCAGCTGAGCAGAAATGCCAGGCTGCGACCCTCATTTCCTCCTCTCTTGAGTGAAGTGAGTGAGGGAGGAAAGGGGGGAAGTGTGGTCAGAGGCAGGCAGCTAAAGACTGTACTGGCTTTGTTGGGATGCAAACTTTTCCATTTCTTCTCCCTGTTGGCCCGCCTTGCTTTTCTTTGTACATTCAACAATGCCTTCCCTGTTAAAGCTACGGTTGTGGTTGTTGTTTGCGCAGTTTTTAATCCTTTGTGTCTTGTAGGGTCAGGTCCAAAGCACAATGCATGACTAAGTTTTTGATTGTTTTGTGCTTATAAGCTTTCTTGCTTTTCAGTTTAAAATTTAAGTTCTGTATTTTGTGTGTAATCTTTACTTCCTGCAACACAGGCAGATAGTTCATCCTAATATTCGATAGTAAGTTACACTGACATGTATTAAGTGTCTTCTCTGACCACACCAGTGGTCATCTACATACAGCACATCAGTCAATAGCTGTTCAGCCTGCCTGTTATGAGGTTGCTCGTTGTTTGTTCATGATGCACTGGAAGCCTCACTAATGCATTCACTGTCCCCACACCCATAGAAACCCAGGTATGTACATAGAGGCAGCATTACACAGGAGACAGGCAGGCCTGGAATGCAGCTGGAGTGGCTGGCTGATTTCTACTGGCACAGCTGCTGCATCTTTTACTGTTCACACTAACCTTTGTGCCTGTATCATTACTATCCTGTCATGACTCCCTGGCTGTATACATAGCTGTCTACCAGTCTTTCTGTGAATCTGTTGTGTTTCAGTGAGCACCCTGGTCACTTAAAAGTTGTGGCAGCAATCTTACAGGTATGTGCCAAAAAATTAGAATATCGAGGGAAAGTCCATTTATTTCAATAATTTGTTTCAAAAAGTGAAACTTGTATGTTATATTAGTTCACTGCACACAAAGTGAAATATTTCAAGCCTTTATTTGTTTCAATTTTGATGATTATGGATTAAAGACAAAAAAAAACCCCAAATCCAATATTTCACAAAATTAGAATATTTCATGTGACCAATAAAAAAAGGATCTTAAACACATGTTGGCCTTCTGAAAAGTGTGTTAATGTACTGTATTATGTCCTCAGTACTTTGTTGGGCCTCCTTTTGCA